GTTGAGTGGTAGGAAGCGGCCATTTAACGCCAAACAAAATTATTGTGATTGAGTTAACTTTAGCCGGACTCTGGTCAGCAATCGAATTGTTTGAGACTGAGTTAATATACGATTCTTGGAGTGGCTTAGTAATTGGCAACGAAGTTGTTTATTAAGACAAGTGATACAATAGAGAGATTAATCCATATCGTTAGACTGAATGCCGGATAAATTACTAAACATTAAGCAAAGGTAAGCATTAAGAAAAAAATACTTTTTTTACTAGTTCAACCTTTGCAAAATTACTGGAGAGTAATCCTTTTACGAGCATGTTTTCTCTTTAACAAATTTGTTTATAAAGACGATTATTATTTCTCAGAGCATTATGGTACAACAAATGTGGAGTCGATAGCCCTAGTAACTAGTGCTAGTTTATTAAGTTAATATTTTATATTAGTCTCCAATTGATTAATAATAAAAAATAATAACTTTTATCAACTTTATGGTACCTTCCGATAACCAAGAATTATTTCCTCTTTCCATCTCAAAATCCATACCACTTCCACTCATACAGCAGACAAACGTCCTCCACTGTTCCTGTCACTTTTCACAGCTCCTTTCTAATTAACGTAAACAATTTCCCAAACTCAAAAAATAATAATCATAAAAAATATCTTCGTGAAATCGGATTAGGCGAGAGACGCCAGAGCTGGGGCGCATCTGGCAATTGAAAAGTTTGAAAATGTTCGTTTTTCTTATTCTTAATTAAATCCAGAATACTGGCATAAACTTTTATTATTCAACGCTCTCCGGACTCCGGCCTCCCGCCCTTCGCCCCCTCCCTGGGCATTTGTCAATGTGGCAAAAGTGAAAAATGTTTCATTATCGAGCATTATGAAAGCTTTTCACGATACCCAAGAATGACAGGCCGAGCAGCAGAGCAGCAGAGCTCCTGTCCCGTTTCCCATTTGCCATTTGCCATTTCCTCTGGCAGCTTCTGGAGTGTCAAATCATAAATATGCATCTAGCGTTTATCTAACGTCTTTATGAGCCACTCTACCCCCGACATTGTCTCAGAGTCTGAGGAGTTGTCTAAGGAGCAGTGTGGGGAAGGGCCCACAGCCCGAAGTAGACTTAAAAGTAATTTTACGTCTGACTAAACATTAATGTGCTCAATATTTTATTGTTTGTTTGTTTGTTGCTTCTGCTGTTTCATGGAGTCCGTCCCCTGGCACACGAAAAATCCCAAAGAGACAGAGAGTTGATTATGCGGGCCTTCGGTCTTTTCCAAACTTTTTCACAATCTGCAATTTTTAAACGGTTTTCTTTTCTGCGCGTGGTTAAAGATACAATAAATTGCTGGGATCAAGAGCTAACTTTGGGAGATGGGAACTAAATTTTGGGGAATCGAAGATTACCATTTTCAATTGTTTTGGAGGTGTTTCAGATGGGATGTTATTTTACAAATTAAAACGATTTTGACCAATCAATCTTCAATCCGTACTGCTTTTTCTTGACTAATTTTTCTGAAAGGTCAAATAGGCAATTTTTAGGGAGAATACAAGAAGTATTGCTTAAAATGCAATCGAGTTATTGGAATAAAAATGGAGTAGTCTTGCGACTTGTCAAACATCTATTCTCTGCTATCATAAATATTTACGAGAGTGACTTCTGTAGATACCTTCGACAAGGACTTCCTCGTCACTGTTCAGAATTCAACAGAAAACGATGGACTGCTTTTAGGAATAAATTCCTTTTAAGCTAATTTCGTTTCGGAAATCAAGACTATTCTATCTTTCAGAGCTTGCACCCATCGCTCCCACATGAGATGACAAGCTGGGGGTTTTCTATTGGTTCAACAAGCATGCCCACCGCTTCTTAGACAATCTAAGAGAAGCACATACTCGTAGAACTCGTAGAAATAAAAAGATTCCTACAAGACTTTAGACCCTCCTATGTTAGATCATTCTGTAAGCAACTACGATGAAGCTCTGTCCCACACAACTTCCACCGCAACAATCAACCAAAAGCTAACTGAAATTTGACCAAAAACCTTGCCTTTCACTTGGCCATTTGGCCATTTAGCTTGTCTTGCACTTTAGTTTGGACACCTTTTTTGGACACTTGGTGCGCTGTCGATGCATGAGGGGATGTAGCTCAGATGGTAGAGCGCTCGCTTAGCATGTGAGAGGTACGGGGATCGATGCCCCGCATCTCCAATAGGATTTCCTTATTTTCCTCGCCTTTTTTTGTTGCGGGAGACGAATACGCAAACGTCGGCAGTTTTGTCTTTTGCATTCCGGGGCGGCTTATGTCGAGGAAGAAGTTGCCACTAATGAATATTCAAAGGTTGCCTTTGTAGCTGCCAGTGAGCATTATTCCGATTCAAACACAGGACATCCCTTAGAAGCTGCCCCCATGTCGACAATCAAGACGCGTAATTTGATTTGCGCCCTTAACGATGGAGTTGGGGAGTGCGGAGGAGGAGGCAGGATGGTGGTAGAGAGAACACATTGTCGTACATAAATCAGCACAATATGCCAATGTGTGTGTTTATGCCTGCATTCGCTGTTCGCAGGCAACTTTGCCAGCAATTAACCAGACAGCCACAACAGCAGCCACGGGAGCAGTCAGGACCAGGAAACACGGTCCCAGGACAACAGTCAGGACGCCCCCGGGCGACTACATCCTCCATACACTGCTGGAATCGGAGTTGTAAATGATACATGATGTGCTATTTATGAGCAAAAGGCTTTTGTTTTAATTTTTTGCCCCCTGTTTTGTTATCCGTTTTCGACAGGACAAAGTTTTTTGTCCTCCCTCCTCCCGTGACAACCTGAAGTCTAAGCTAGTTAAGCTGTCGCTGTCGTTGCGAGAATTTATGTATTTATTTCCAGATTTTTAATTGTTTTAAGTGTTTTGTTTTGCAAAGTTGCTGTTTGCATGTTTCGCAAAAAAGTTAGTGGACAAATACACCACTATTGGAGATGCGGGGCATCGATCCCCGTACCTCTCACATGCTAAGCGAGCGCTCTACCATCTGAGCTACATCCCCATCTTGTGGATTGTCCACCAAAGGCACCAATGTATTGCCTTTCTTGGTTGGACAATTAGCAATACCTCTCTTTACCTTCAATTGGTATGCAAGTGGTGCGACAAAGGTGACCCGGATACCGTTTCACAGTACAGGCCTGTTCCGAACTGGTTTGCGGATTAGCTTCGGTTGGACTGGGTTGGGGTGTGGCATTCGAAAGACATGACCATGCCTCAATTGAAAACAGTGGCACAGACCAAGAGGAGGTTAAATGGATTTTTAAGAAACTATAATAGCAACATGATCTATATATTTGAGAGGTCTTGAAACACTTTGATAATTCCAAAGATACAAATTATAAAGAAAGCTACCACTTAACTATGTTTCCGAAAAGCTGAAGATGAATATTTCGAACCTTTTACCACTCTCCGGAAATATTTCTTCGTATTTAAAGACTCTTTTCGTTATCTTACCGCAACAGAAGGATTTCTGGATAACACTTCAGGAAACAAATTTAATTACATTTCAACAAATCAACCAGAATTTTTTTATTTTTGTATACACAAAATGAGTGCTAAAATCGGAACTAAACCAATTCTTAAAAATTACAACCGAAACAGCATAGTTTCACACCATTTAATAGACGACCTCCATACAAATATATCAAAATATTCTTGAAATAAACGAAAAACAAATATTCATAAGGAAACCAAACACGAATTCCTCTTGGAACAGGAGAAGCAGGAAGAATAAAAATCAGAATTTTTTGGAAGCGTCTTGGGGGATTCGAGTAAAAATTAATATGCATAACGCATAGCGGAAAGGAAAGGAAAAAATAAACTTTTGTACAATTTATGCAGTGATGAGTGAAAAAGGATGCCACTCGGTCCTGTTGGGAGGCAACAGCAAGAACAACAATAACACGTTCACGTTCCTGTGCCCGTTATCGGAACCGGAAACGGGTCCACACAGAACGAAAGGAAAAAGTCCACAAAAGTCACGCTGGCGTGTGTGACAAGTCCTTTCTAATGAGCAGGAAGAAGGCGAGCATAAGAGGGCAGCGCACCTATTGCTCAAATCAAGCCCAAAAGCCCCCCTCAACTAATAAACTTCTTCCAGTCCAAAGTCAATTAAAAAAGGAACAGAAAATGCTACGTGACGCCTTAAGATAGACACAGGACATACACAAAAAATGAGAGGAGGATGCACCAGAACTGGAGAGTGGGAAATCCTTCCAGAAGGCAGCAACTAAAAAGTCGCAGACTTTCTTGAAATTAAAATTACAAGACGCTTGAATAACTTTGACTGTGTCGCGTCCCAGCCCCATTTCCATTGCCGCTGTCAGGTGAATGCTGAGAAAGTTTTTGAGGTAACATTTCTTTTACGATTCGCCAGAGAGTGGAACCAGCAACGGGGAGACGTGCCACTTGCAATGTTTTTGTCATTAATTTTGTATATCATTGAGTTTTACGAGCCTCATAAATATGAAAACGTTTAACTCTTTGTCGCAGAAGGAACACAAATCCTCCAGCGACTCCCCTGGCTACGTTTTATATGAGACAAACTAATTGTCTTGTACTTGTAATGTGTTTTTAAGCACAGCCACGCTTCCCACATGTTTTCGCAATGTTCCTCTGATAAACAACAGCATGAACACTGCGGTGGTCGGGGGTAAGGAGCAGGAGCGGGATCTGGTATTGTAACAATTAGTGGGTTGGTTGAAGGGTCCCCATTCGTTCCCTCGTGCAACAGCTTGAGGTAATTTTCAACTTTTACTCCTTGTCTTGGCGTTGACAAGAAGCGTGTTGTTCTGTTTGGTTTTAATTAAAGCCCAAAACAAATCAAGTCAAATATGTAGGAGAGATTGCGATGTTTACACCCTCAGAGAAAAGCTCTGCCAATGGAGAAGTATTTGTTTCAATTGAGGAAGAAGTTTTTTAAGAAGTTGAGAATTCAATAATAATTTATGAACGAAGATGAACTTTATTGGAACAGCCAAAGTTATCAAAGTATCACCAAGTTATTGCAATATCTCAGGCAGTTATATAAACATATATGTCCGATCTTCGTGTATTATGGTCATTGGGAGTGAACTGGCTTTAACTTGTGGTTTATTTTAGGTTGCCTTTTGAGCCGAAAGTTAATTGAAAAAACGGCCAATTTTCGAACCTAATCAGTTTGGTAGTGTTTATATGGTAGATGTATCTATTTGGTTGTGCTGTGCTGCTACCGCCGGACCTTAGTTCCTCCCGCGGCGTTCCTTTTGCTTTCGCTCCTCCTTCTGGGTCAGGATCACGAGCAAACGGCGGAACATGTAAAATAGGTCCAAGAACAGATCCAGGGCATGTTGTACGACATCGCGGTTCCCATTGCGGCACTTCTCTACTATGTTTTGGGTGTCGTAGACTACAAAACCGGCCATCACGAATACTCCCACATAGAGTTGAGTCACTTGAACCATGTACGACTGGAATATCATGTTGAAGAGGCTCAGAAGGACCATGGTGCTGACAACGCTTAATAACATTCCGCCCAGATACAAATACTTGCCCTGCTCGGCCAGGAGTGCGGCCAGCGAGAGTGATAGAAAAATGACCAAAGTGCCAGTGAGGGCTGTGACGATAATCGACGGATTGATGCTGTTTATGTAGCTCAACAGCGGTCCCAATGTCTGGCCCGAGCAAAATCCAAGGGCATAGAGCATGCTCAAGCGTGTGCGATAGTTCTTGCCATCATCCATGTAGATGTGCAGACCGAATGCCAGAACCAGCGTGGCCAGGGCAGCCAGTATACCGAGATCTAGAACTTCGTGCATCTGGCAGAGGGCTCCCACAGTGGACGCGGCTACGGTGCTTCCCAAGACCATGTACACCTTCGCCAGGTGCTGGCGCACATGTGGCTCGTAGCGATCGTTGAGGCCTTTCATAAAGGTCTGAAAGCGTCCGTTAATTTTCTGTGCTGTAGCTTGAGCCATTTTTTCTCAATTTTGTTTTTGTTCAATTGCTGAATATTTTTCAAGTTTTTAAAATTTGTTAAACGGAGAAGTGAATCTGTTATGTTCGTTCACAAACAAACTGCTTTATGACTTCTTAAATTGTTGTACACGTCTACTTGTTTTTAATTTTTCTGTATTTTACAAAGACTTACTTGTTTTCGGAAAAAAACTACGAGTTTATTCTCAGTTTATTCGTACCAGTCTCCGTTTTTCTATTCTAATGTTGAAGTGTGTATTCAGAGATTCTTTCAGAGAGGATCTTAAGAGCGAGATGATGAGAGCAAGCATAGAACAAGGTCTGAAAGGAAAATGTCTGAAAGGAAAATGTCTGGAACTCGTTATTTGCTGCGATCTGTGCAAGAAAGAAGTTACTATGAATGAAAACTTTAAAAGAAAACTGAGGCAAACATTAACTCTAGCCCGACATAATTATATATTATGTAGACCTAAATTTTAACTATACAAGTGGTTAAAAGTGCAATAAAACTCTTAAAAGTAAGATCGGGGTCACCAATTGAAAGCCAAATGACTCTCATCAATTAAAGAATGAAGGTTTACCTTTTTTTCATAGTTTCATGGTTTTTCCTATCTAGTTAAGGAACCTTTTGATATTTATGACAACATTTTAGACCGATTTGGGAAGAAATGGATAAACAATTAGATGAGTTATAATTGGATAATAAAATTATAACCTTGGGCTATTGTGATAAATATTCGTAGATTGAGGATTGACGTGCAATTCTCATGACATATTGAGACTTTCATTAATTCCATGAATGAAAAAACTGGAAAAACTTCCCCTTTCAACTTTCTTGAAGACTATCGCTACATAAATACTTTCTGCCTCAGAAGATTTTAACTTTCTTGCTGTTAAATTTTTAATTAGTTCAAGTTACAAATGACATTAACGAAAAAGAAGGCAATGGCAAAGATTTGTGGTCGTATATTTTAGCATTTCTTAACGAGATTTTTTCCAAAGCAGAAAAACAAAAGCCAGAAAGGAGAAATTCCCAGCGCCAAAGGAATTTGCACCTTTGCATACACAAATAGTCCTCCCCCTCCAAGGATGGGGATAATTGTTGGATAGGGGAGCCAGGTTGGATGTTGTGTGGGTTGGGTCCAGGGTTCAGGGGTTCGGTGGTTCGGTGGTTATAAATTTTAAATCTGTTGAATTAATGCAGAGGCCAAGCCTGCTTTCTTTTTGCTCCCATTCATTCTTACGTGCCAGAAAAGTTGAGAGAGAACTTCCCGCGCACGTTGCCTGATTACATTAATTATTCCTTTATTGTTTGTAAAAGTTTTCGCTCTTTGTCGGTTCTGATTCAGTGTGCCCTGCGCTGCTATGTTTGTTGTAATGCATCTAATTGCAATTAATTACAGAGAATAATAGTTACTTCTTACTAATAATGTCTGTTTCTTTCCATTTCCTTTGCAGTGACTCCTTCTTCAATCGGGTGAGTAGAATTGCAACCATTGAGTCGCATCTGGGTTCTAATTGCATGCATATTTTGTAGTTTTCGAATAGAAATAATCCGTATCAGCAAAATCGTCCACCAAACTATCGCTGGCAGCGCAACGATTATTCAGATAGATCATATTACGGACAAGAGAGGTACTCCAGATATGAACGCAGATCAAGTGAAGACCGCCACAATTGGGGCTACAACCCAACCAGAAATAATGGGAACGATCAAATTAGAAATTTCCATCCAAATCCCGAATCAAAAGAACTGAAAGAAACTGAAACTGATTGTGAATCGAAAGGAGCTTCTAAAGCGGGTTTGCGACCTCTGGAAACGCAAAAAAAATCCAAAGAAAATCCAGAAAATAAAGAAAGTCTATTTAGGGGCCAGTCAGATCCAAAAGGAGGGGTTTCTAGATCAAACAACCGCGATATCCCCACCCGAAGTAAGAAGAACAATCAAAATCACAAATCACAAGAACTGAAAGGAACAGAAGTTGATCGTGAATCGAAAGGAGCTTCTAAGGCTAATCTTGGCCTTCTGAAAACACCAAGCAATTTGAAAGAACAGCCAGGAAATAAAGAGAGGCCATTTAGTGGCCAGTCAAATAAAGAAAAAGCAGCATTGGGAGGGGATTCTAGTCAAATCAAAGTCCCCAAGCCCATTGCTACCAGTGAGAAACCCAGTGGGAATCCCCCGCCAGCAGCAGAGTCTGAGTCTAGTCAAACATATCCAAAGATCAAAGTACGTCCTTTAGCAGAGCTGCTGAACCACGGGATCCTAGCTGCAACCGAGGAGAACCGCCTGGGACGCACTGCCCCACCCGAAAGACCGCCGAATCCTTTGTCCTACAGACCTGCCCCCAAAATTCGCCGACTTACTGTGGCTGGCTGTGGTGCCTTCGATCCACAGGATAATCCTACCTCAATCGAAAGTCGCCTCGCGAACCTAGACAAGGAGAGCCTCAAGTATATAATCAACAACAGTGACACCATATACGAGGAGCACCTCAAGTTCCAGGCCCGAAAACGACTGCAGGACAAAATTGGTCGCCAGCTCAAGAAATTTAATCTGGAAAAGCCGAAGGATAGCCGGGTCACGCCACCGATTGAAGACGAGATCGTTGATGACATCAAATTACCAAAAGTACTGCTCCAAGAGATCGAAAAGTGCCTTAGCATAAGCACTCCAGAGGCTGACGGAAGCAAGTCAAGTCCACAAAAGGAGAAAGTGGCTTTAGAGGAACGAGAAATCCAAACGGAACCTACCATTAAGAGAGGGGAGTGCAGTAAAAAGAGTTCAGAGTCCAAACAGGAACAAGAACAAAACTCTAGCATTAAGAGCGGGCAGTGCAGTAAAATTCCAGAAAAAGGAAGGAACTCTAGTCACAGAGAGAAGGAGACCCCAACAGAGACAATGGCTGGTGCCAATAATCTGATGAGACGGCTCAAAGCCGCCGACGAGGTGAAGACAATGACCGCAGTGCGTCAATATAATGGCCGTCACAGTGGCAGCTTCCCGCCCCGCGGTCCTTTGCTACCATTCCCAAAACAAGACAAAAAGTTGAGCAGTGGCGAGGGGCAAGAACGCAAAATAGGCATATCCTCGCCCACGAAAGCCAAACCAAAAGATAAAACTAAAGAGAGCACTCCAAAGGATACCGCTCCAGCCCCACCAGAAGCCACACTTTCGATCAAAAAGGAGATCACAGACTGCGAAATAATTCAGCCGACGGGGAATGCAACAATAGTTGTCAGCTCTTCCTCTGATGAAGATGAGGCTGAAGCTGAAGCTGAAACTGAAACTGTGGATAAGCCCCACAACAAGACACAACCGCAGCGGCAGGCAACCGCAGTGGCAAAGCCCAACGATGAAGAAGCGAGTGATCACTCGACCACTTCTCAATGCAGCACCGAGTCCTCTAAGCAGCGCTACAGGCAGAAGCTAAAGCTTGATGCGGACTATGTGGTAGACAGTTTCGAGAAGCTGATTCTGCCGCATCTCAAGGAATCGCTAGCAGAGAGATTCAAAAGCCTGAATAGCGACAGTATACAATCTCGTCTTCACTTCATATCCTGCGTTGTGACGTCCAGCGACCACAATTCGCAAAGCATCAGCAAAATGGAAATAGCCAAAATGCAAAATAATCTCAAGCTTCGAAACAATCGGCTGGGCATTGAGTTCCTCCTGCGCCAGATGGTGCATGTGGTTAATCAGCAGAAGCAGCAGGCGGTGGCACAGCGGTCAAAGGAACAGGAGGCGAAAAAGCTGAGCAATAGGATTAGCACGGTGACGAGTGCCGCCTCAGAGAGTGCTGAATCTGCAAAAGAGCCGCCGCCACATCAAAGACTTCTGCGGGAAACTGCCGTGGACCCACCCTCTAGTCAGAGTCCTCGTCAGAGTTCTCCCTTGCCGTCTTCTCGTCAGAGTCCACCAGCAATGCCTTCTCGTCAGAGTCCACCAGCATTGCCTTCTCGTCAGAGTCCACCAGCATTGCCTCCTCGTCAGAGTCCACCAGCATTGTCTTCTCGTCAGAGTCCACCAGGACTTCCCTTTCTTCAGAGCCCACCAGCCTTGCCCCCGCGTCCAATTAACCCACCATTTTCTGTTTATCCTCCTGGATTTCTGGATTCCCCATTGGCTCGAGTCTCCCCAGGCGGCTATCCCCTGTCCGAATCCACTGAACCTCTGCGACATGTGACATGCGACATGGTGGCCCATAATCTAGTCGAAATCGATCGTCGTCTCTTGGAGAATCAGAATAGACGTAGCTTTCTCGAGGAAATGATCATGAAATTCCAAAAGGAGAAATCCGACTTGGAAATTCACAGCCTGGAGATGCAAAACCGCAAGTTTCTGCTGATCAATTCAGCAATGTACAGCAACCATGGACCAGCAACAGCATCATCTGTGATGCTCTCCACGCTTGCTACCCAGAGCCAGGCAGAAGTTTTGGGGCAGTCTTGTAATAGAAACGAGGCTTCTTCGAACCAAACACAAGCCAGACCGAAGGGTCGCGTTCGTCGGGCTGTGGTGGTCAAGTACTTGCCCAAGCGTAGGGCAAGATTCAATCGTCGGACAGCCAAGAGGAATGATAATTCAGACGAGTTGGTGGCTCAGCTCCAGCTGGAGATTGCAGCCAAGGAGCAGACTGAAAAATCCGAGGAGATCTCACCGAAAATGCCCATGCCGCTAATGGAACCCGATGCGGTGATCAAAGAGGAACCCATGGATTTTTGCAATGCAATGGAGTTGCAGTCGCCGCGTCCCATCATCGCCGAAAATGGTGCTAGCCCCAACAAACGATCGGCGGATCACATTCCAGCGGCCGCCTCCAGGCCCAAGCAGTCGCGTAAGAGCAAAACAATTACCAGTACAGTATCAGAGTCTAATCCTACCCAGCAGCCGCTAGCCATTATACCACCGCTACCACCACCACCGCCGCCGCCGCCCGAGCCGAACTACAACATGCCATACCAGCTGCCACGGAGTATCCTCAAGGCCCCACCGCCACTACCCACGCAACTGAGACAGCATACGGT